GAATGGTGACAACAAATTTTTAACTTTCAAGTTTGACAGTGCAGCTTCTGTTTAACACTAAGAAATTTCAAGAAATCACAAGAGATGAGAATAAAGACAATCACCACTGGTCTTGATATGCTGCTGTTAAAATTAAAACAACATTACAAAATGATAATACAAATTTGCTTTAATAAGAGACAGTGAATGATTTGTTCATGATTACCTTTGAGCTTTTTCCAGAACATTTTGTCTAAAAACTGATCTGGTCACTTCATATATTGCATCATGAATCACATGGGCAGCAACATCTGGAAACTGTTCTGTTAAACACAATACCAGAAAACATTATAACCTGTCTATAGACAATATAATGACTTTTAACAAGACTGATTGACATTCTTTTTGCCGATTGTCATTAAGGTCAAAAATTTGACAGCATGATGTAGATACTGAAATCTGTATTTAAAGACTTGGTTAACACTCTTAATCAAAATGGAAGCAAAGATACCTGTACTAAATAAGGTACATGTATTTGGAAAAAGATATGTACAAAGACATGTTCAAAACTTAAACTTAAATAATACACATGGGAACAAAAACAATAGTGTGTCCATTCCCAACTTCAGAAACAAGAAGAAAACTGGGGCAAGTGTCATTTTGCAGTGGCTTGTAGGATCGGTGCTGGGTACAGAACAAAAGACAAAAAGTGATAACAGCCCCAGTAACGATCTTATAAGCCAGTGCGTCATGATTTCTAAACTGACTTAGTAATACTTGTATGCACATGTAGAGCCTTGCACACTTTCTACCAACAGATAAGTATTATTTACTGGAGGACATTAAAAATTACTCAACATGTATATAACAGTTACATCTTAATTTTNGTCTAAAAACTGATCTGGTCACTTCATATATTGCATCATGAATCACATGGGCAGCAACATCTGGAAACTGCTCTGTTAAACACAATACCAGAAAACATTATATCCTGTCTATAGACAATAGACTGACATTCTTTTTGCTGATTGTCATTAACGTCAAAAATTTGACAGTATGATATAGTCACTGAAATCTGTATTTTAAGACTTGGGTAACACTCTTAATCAAAATGGAAGCAAAGATACATGTACTAAATAAGATACATGTATTTGGAAAAAGATATGTACAAAGACATGTTCAAAACTCAAACTTAAATAATGCACATGGGAACAAAAACAATAGTGTATCCATTCCCAACTTCTGAAACAAGAAGAAAACTGGGGCAAGTGTCATCTTGCAGTGGCTTGTAGGATCAGTACTGGGCACAGAACAAAAGACAAAAAGCAATAACAGCCCCAGGAATGATCTTATAAGCCAGTACGTCATGATTTCTAAACTGGCTTAGTAATACTTGTATGCACATGTAGAGCCTTGCACACTTTCTACCAAC